GAGATATCATGAGTGGTTGCTGATTTGTAGCAAAAAATTTGTTATTTTTTATTATATAAGAAAAATGGTTAGTGACACACCACAAAAAGAAGATAAGTTTAATTTGTGTGTCTTTGCTCCTTCTCCCCTTCTGTTATTTTTTACTGGTATCAAAGCTACAAGATCAAGGCATGTTTTCAATCATGTCTCACCAAGAGATTGAGCAGTCAAGAAGTGAGAGAGATCAAAAAATGAGACAAGAATCGAGTGATGGGAGCCAAAGCACCGGTGCGAAAGAAGATGATGCCTCAAATGAAGTGAGTGTACGGATTCAAGAAAAGGAGGGATCTATCACACTCAAATACCCGATGCTACTCAAATACCCGCTGACAAAATTCAACTATGCAGTTTAGGGAGATTAAGATGGAGGTATTTATGATGTCACTATTGGAAAAAGGATAGTGAAAGAGTTAGGAATAAATAGAAGCTGCAGTTCTTTATTAATGTTTTGTGACTCAATGCTTAGAGGTTTACACAATTCCAGTATTTATAGCTTATACACTGGACCAACCATAAATAGTAAATCATCGAAATCTAGATAAATTTAAATCTACTAACAATCTCCTAAAATCTTGGTAGTTTGAATATTTGAATCATATCTCAACTACTTTGAATCATATCTTCATTTTGAATACTTTGAATCACATCTCAATGCTCCCCTTGATTCAAAGTTGCAAATGCCAAGTAATCTTCTAAAGTAGCAAAACTTTTCTTTTGACAAAGCCTTGGTAAGTATGTTTGCTAGCTGTTCATCGGTGTTACAATATTCCAAGACAATTTCTTTGTCTGCAACAAGATCACGAATATAGTGATGTCGAAGTTCAATATGTTTTGTTCTACTGTGAAACGTTGGGTTCTTTGTCATAGAAATAGTTGCTTTATTATCACAAAATATCTTTGTTGCCCCTTTTTGCTCTTGTTGAAGCTCAGCTAACATTCTTCTTAGCCAAATGGCTTGACACGCTGCTGAAGTTGCTGCAACATATTCTGCTTCTGATGTTGACAAGCCACTGTTGCTTGCTTCTTTAAGCTCCAAATGATCACTCCTGGCCCTAAAGTGAAAACATTGGTTGAAATGCTTCGTCTATCATCTAATGATCTTGCCCAATCACTATCGGTGAATCCATATAGTTTGAAATTAGAGGATTTAGAATACTAAATTCCATACTCCATAGTTCCGACAATGTAACATAAGACTCTTTTTACTGCTCCATAATGAACCTTTGAAGGATGTTGCATAAACTTAGAAATAATACCAACAGGAAATGCAATGTTGGGTCGTGTGTGAGTTAAGTAAATTAGTCCGCCAACCAAGCTCCTGAACCTTGTAACATCTGTCATTTCTGCTCCATCATCATGTTGTAATTTCTCATTAATATTCATAGGTGTAGCTGCAGGCTTACAATTAAGCATACCAAATTTACTCATAATATCTTTGGCCTATTTGCTTTGTGAAATAAAAATTTCATCTTCAGCTTGATATACTTCAAGACCAAGAAAATAGTGTAATAGACCCATATCTGACATCTCAAATTCACTCATCATTGAGACTTAAATTTATCCAAAAGAGAGTTAGAAGAGCTAGTGTAAATAATATCATCAACATAGAGGCAAATAATGATGAAATCACTTTTACCTTTCTTCTTCACATATAAAGTAGGCTCATTCTCACTTCTCATGTATCCTTTCTTTTAAAAATACCCATCAATCTTGTTGTACCAAGCTCGAGGGGCCTGTTTTAATCCGTATAGTGCCTTTCTCAACTTAGTCACCACAATTCTGCTGCTAATGCTAGAATAGTTCTTACAGTTTCAAAACAAGCTACTGGAGAAAAAGTCTTCAAAATCTATACCTTGTTGTTGTGCATACTCTTTTGCTACAAGACGAGCCCTATGCTTTTGTATGCTTCCATCTGGTGCAAATTTTGTCTTGAACACCCATTTCAAATTGATTGCATTTTTTTCGTTTGGTAAGTCAACCATCTCCCATGTTCCATTTTTCTCAATGGACTGCATCTCTTCTACCATGGCTTTCTTCCACTCTTCTTTTTCAGCTGCTTCTTTATAACTCATAGGATCTGAAAAAGTAAGAGCAAATTGACATGATGCATATATGTCAGTTAAAGATTTATACTTCTTTAGAGGTGTCTCATCCGAAAGTTCTTCAAGAGAAGAATCCTTGTTTAGTGATGCTGAAGATGATGAATTTGACACATTTTGTGTTGCAGTGGAGGCACTAAGAGATGCACTAGAGTTGACCCTTGTCTCTTCGTTTGGAGGAACTTCGAGTATAATCTTTTGCTGCTCCTGTTCTTTACTCCAATCCCAACTTGTGTTTTCATTAAATATTACATCTTTTATAACTAAAATCTTTTCACTGATGGGGTTGTATAATTTATATGGCTTTGATTGAGTACAATAGCCAATGAAAATGCACTTTTCAGATTTTTCATCAAGCTTTTGACGAATTTGAGGATGTTTCAAAGCATAAGCAACACAACCAAAGATTCACAAATGACTTACATATGGTTTCCTTCCATGACATGCTTCATAAGGAGTTCGATTTATAACCGCCTTGATTGGTGAGATGTTTAATATATAAACAGATGTTGCTACGGCTTCTGCCCAAAATTGGTTTGGAAGTCTCCTTGCTTGTAACATACTTCTTGCCATCTCTACAATAGTTCGATTTTTTCGTTTAGTGATTTCATTCTGTTCTGGAGTGTAGGGAGTTGTTAATTTTCTTTGGATGCCCTCTTCTTCACAAAATAGATTGAACTCTTTAGATATGAACTCGCCACCTCTGTCTGTGCGAAAAACTTTAATGTGACAGCCACTTTGGTTCTCCACCATAGCTTTAAAAATCTGAAACTTTTGAAAAGTTTCTGACTTTTGTTGTAGGAAGTAAACCCAGCTCATGCGACTATAGTCATCAATGAATAGTAAAAAGTATGTACTCCCATCCAAGGACTTCATTTGCATTGGCCCACATAAATCAGCATGAATTAGTTCTAGATAGTGTGAAGCTCTTTTAGCTTTTCTAACAGGAAAGGACTTCCTAGTCTGCTTGCCATAAATGCATCCTTCACACAAATTAGTTGAATCAATTCTTGGTAATCCGAAAACTATACCTTTATCCCTGAGTATTTTCAGGTCGTTCATATAAAGATGTCCATATCTGAGATACCATAATGTTGAGTCATCTTTCGTGCTAGCAGTAAGAGCAAAATCCTCCATGTTAGTGGAAAGATCTTATTTGAAGTCATGACAATTTGAACTTTATGGCCTGATTTCTTATGTGTAATGACACATGTGTTGTCATCAAATAGAACTGAATGTCCTCTGGTCATCAATTGTTCAACACTCAATAAATTGTACCTTAAATCAGGTACAAATTGAACATTATCTAATTGTTTTATCTTACCATGACTAGTTTCGACTTTCATTGTACCTTTTCCCTCAACTTGCATCTCTTTTGTGTTTCCAAGTTGCACTTTAATTTTTTGCGTCTCATCAAGCTCTTTGAATAAGGATTTGGTGTCTGTCATATGGTTCAAGCATCCTTTATCAACAAACCATAAGTCACCTTTTTTTTGGATTAGTATCCATGCACGCCAGAAGCAGCTTTTCTTCTTCTTCTTCATTCTCTGCTGCAAAATTCATTCATTGATTTTTATACCAACAATCAGATTTTGTGTGCCCATACCTTCTGCAATGGTAACATTGTATGACATTCCTTTGTTCATTGAATTGTCTCTATCCATCACTTCTCCATCTACCCCTGTTATCACGACCACCATGGAAGTTGCGAAATCCTCCTCTTCCACGACTTCTACCTGCTAAATGAATATTTTCTCTTTCGTTGTTTTCGTGGTTGGTTGTCTCCTTCACTTGAAGTACCTTTTCTTCATTCCTTTCTGATGATCTATTGATTCTTGCCTCATGAGCCTGAAGTGAGCCCATCAGTTCATCTACGGAGAGTATGGACAAATCCTTAGCTTCTTTTATGGCAGCCACCACTTAGTCAAACTTTGGAGTCAAGCTTCTTAACACCTTTGCAACAATTGTTTTGACTGAGATTTTCTCTCCATAGGTACGCATCTGACTGACTATTGTCATTGCTCTTGACAAAAAATCAGCAATTGATTCGCCATTCGTCATGAGTAGAGTTTCAAAATCATGCCTTAGAGATTGCAATTTCACTATTATGACCTTTGAATTTCCTAGAAACTTCTGTAGAATTGACCATGTCTGCTTTGATGTGGTTACTGCTGCAATTCGTGAAAAGATAGTCTCATGAACTGCTTGTTGAATTGTGAATAGAGCCTTGGCATCATTTTTCTTGGTTTCTCTTAGTCTCTCCTTTTCTTCTATTGTGGGTTCTAATATATCAAGAAATCTGTGCTCCACCAAGTCCCATAGCTCCTACAATCTGAGCAAGGTCTTCATCTTGATGTTCCACCACTCATATTTTTCACCATTAAAGATGGGTAACAACGGTGCAGAGGAAGAAAAACCAGCTACTACCATTTTTTGTTTTGTGAAAGAAAATAATCACTCACCCTCGTGTTTAAGGAACTTGGCTCTGATACCAAAATTGTTGGAAAAAGGTATAGTGAAAGAGATAGGAATAAATAGAAGTTGCCATGCTTTATTAATGTTTTATGACTCAATGCTTAGAGGGTTACACAATTCCTGTATTTATAGCTTATACACTAGACCAGAAATAGTAAATCATCGAAATCTAGATATATTTAAATCTACTAGGCTTGGAATTTTAAACTTGATCAATGTTTGCAGTCACTTAGTTTTGTTAGATGTCCACAGGAATATGCTCTCTACAAGAAAATTAATAGAGTTGAAGCAATGATAATCGGCACATATGTGGATGACTTAATCAAAGTCGGGTCAAACAAATAAGTTATAACTCAGTTCAAGGAAGGGATGCACTAGAAATTTGAGATGAGCGATTTTGGACTTTTGAGCTATTACTTGGGTATTGAAGTACGACAAAGCAGTGAACCAATCACTTTATGTCAGGCCGGATATGCAAGAAAAATCCTAGAGAAGCTAGGAATGGGGGAGTGCAATCCTTGTTCGATTCCCATGGAACCAAGAATGATGAGCAAACATGGGAATGGAGAACCTGCGGTTGACAAAACACTTTACAGAAGTGTTATTGGAAGCTTACGCTATCTGGTTAATACCTGGCCCGACATAGCCTACTCAGTTGGTAGATACATGGAGGCACCAACAACTTCACATCTCACAACAATAAAACAAATATTGAGGTATGTGAAAGGTACTCTAAGTTTTGGTTGTGTTTATAAGAAGCTATCGAATGTGGAGCTGGTAGGATTTAACGACAGTGATATGGCTGGGGATATTGATGATAGGAAGAGTTCAACTGGAGTGTTGTTCTATTTGAGAGTAAATCCAATAACCTAGGTATCACAGAAGCAGAAGGTGGTGGCTTTGTCATCATGCGAGGCTGAGTATATAGCCGCAACTGCTGGAACATGTCAAGGAGTATGGTTGGGTAGGATTTTGAGTAACATCAGTCAACTACAAGTAAAACCCAAGCTTAATATTGACAACAAGTTAGCTATAGCTTTGGCAAAAAATCCTGTTTACCATGATCAAAGTAAGCACATTGATACCAGGTTCCATTTTATTCGTCAATGTGTACAAACTGAAGCTATTGAACTGGAATATGTGAACACAGATGAACAGTTGGTGGATATTCTGACAAAGCCATTAGCAAGACAATGGTTCCTGGAGTTAAGAGAAGATTGGCTTGAAGAATGTCTATTAGCAAAGTTAAACAAGTTTAGAGGAGTGATGGTTGATTATAAACTTGTTTTTATTTATTTATTTTGCTTCATAAGTTTTTGGTTAAAAATAGTTGTTTTGTATTTATTTTATTTTTGTTGTTCATTTCTCCATACAAAAGGCTGGAGATATCGTAAGAGTGGAAGAGTGGAACTAGTTTTTAGAGAGTGAAATTAGTTAAAGAGTTGTTGCTGATTTGTAATAATTATTATTATAAGGAAAATGGTGTGAAGTTAGTAAAACACCACAAAAATAAGATAAAATTAATTTGTGTGTTGCTACTTCTTCCCTTTGTTATTTTCTTTCAAAGTCAAATGTATACAAACTTTACGATTCATTCTCACATGAAATAATTGTTAGTAGAGATGTGAAGTTTGAGGAAGAAAATGCCTGGAATTGACATAAAACTCATAAAAAAGAAGTTACAGTTAGATCTAGAATGGTGTAATGATACTTGAGGTATACAATGATAACTAATGTGAGTCAGCACAAGAACACTCATCTGCTGATCCTAAAAGAAGAATTAATAGGCCACCAAGATGGATTGATGATATGAGAGTGGTTCAAGTTTTTCAGAGAACGAAGATATTGCATATCTAGCCTTGTTTGCAAGAGGTGATCCTATTCATTACATAGAAGCTCCCAAAAGCTCTATATGGAGGAAAGCTATGGATGCAGAAATACAAGAGAAATGATAATTGGAAATTGACAGAACTACGTGCGGAAAGAAAGAAAATCGGTGTTAAGTGGATCTTTAAGACAAAGCTCAAAGACAATAGAGAGGTTGATAAATACAAAGCACATCTTGTGACAACGGGATATGCCCAACATGGTGTTAGATTAGGTTGAAGTCTTCGCACCTGTAGCTCGGCGTGATACAATCAGAGTGATTATTTTTCTTGCATTACAAAAAGAATGGACAATTTATCAACTAGATGTAAAGTCTGCCTTCTTATATGGAGAACTAAGAGAAGAGGTCTATGTTGAGCCGCCACAGAGATATGAAAAGAAAGGCAATGGGCATAAGATATACAAACTAAAGAAGACTTTATATGGATTGAAATAAGCTCTTAAAGCTTAATACAGTCAAGTAGAGTCTTATTTTGTGAAGCAAGCTGAAAAATGTCCTTATGAGCACACGACGGTAAAATTTTTATTGTATGTCTCTATGTTGATGATCTAATTTTTACTAGTAATGATGAACATACGTTTGATAAGTTTAAGTAGTCTATAATTGATGAATTTGATATGACTAATCTTGGAAAGATGAAATATTTTCTTGGTATTGAAGTTATGCAAAGCTCAAATAGAGTTTTTACTCGTCAAAAGAAGTATATGCATAGGAAGTGTTGGAGATGTTTGGAATGAGTGTATGCAATTTAGCTCCCTATCCTATTGTTTCACGTACAAAACTTGTGAAAAATTTGAATGGTTTAAAAATAGATCGCACACTTTATAAATAGATGGTGGGAAGTTTGATGTATTTAACTACGACACGACCAAATATAATGTTTGTGGATAGTCTCATCTCCAGAATCTCATCTAAAAGTAGCAAAAAGGATGTTGAGATATTTGAAGGGTACTACCAACTTTGGATTGTTCTATAGGGAGGGAAGAATTGAAGAGTTGAGTACTTTTACAGATAGCGGTTATGTTGGTGATATAGAAGATCAAAAGAGCACTTCAGGCTATTAAGTACGGGAGTTGTTTCATGGTTTCAAGAAAACAACCTGTGGTGACTTTATCTACTACCGAAGCAGAATTTGTTGCTACCAGTTCTTGTGCCTGTCGAGCCTACTACAATTTTTTTTTGTGATAATAGTATGATTGTAGCAACATAAAAATGTTTGTTTTCATTTTCCTTGAGAGTCGTCAAATAAAGGAGTTGTGAAGATGGTTCATATTCGTACACAAAATCAAGTTGCAGACATCATGAGCAAACTTTTAAAGATCGATATTTTTCTAAAGATGCGTAGTATGTTAAAGTTTGTTCAGAGTCGAAGTATAAATAAACTGATACAGCTTACATTGAGTTTAAGGGAGGATGTTAAAAAAATTTGTTAACTGATTTTTCTTTTTTGTGTTGCTTTGTAAAAAGATTGCATTTTGATTGCATATTGAATTTAGCTTTCTCTTTTAACACTACTATCATTATCATACCGTAAAAAAACAATCGCTCTCGTGTTGACAAGAACTTGGTATTAAATTTGTGAGAAAAATAATATTAAAAAAGATAGTAGAAGACCGAATGAGATTAAAGCTGCAAATACTCTTTTACTCATTGATTGAAAAACGAGTAACAAAAGCTCCAATTTATATTTAACAATAAACAAATTTATAAGTTTGAGAAACAAGAGAGAGGGGCTGAGAAACAAGAGAGAGAGAGGAGTGAGCTATTTACTGGTGGCGATACTACTACGTGCGACAGTCCCACATCGGAAGGGATGAAGTCGCGGCAAATCGAAGATGTTGGGCTTGCATGCGTGAGGAGATGAAAACAAGAAGGGGCTGGCTACTCAAATTTTAAATGAAAAACATAAACTTTTTTGTAATTAACATCAACTAACCTCAAATTTTCTCCACAGCTTAATTTAACTTCAATCTATCATCATACCAAACCAAAATATACAGAGATATTGCTACACACACACACAATTAAACAACTCACAGAGGCATAACTATTTGTAAATGAAGATGATCAAATTAATGTACATTATAATATATAGATACTGCTTGTTCTTGTAGTTCCTTGTGTCGCATTCTATGTAATATAATATATAACTAACTAGAAGAAGGAAAAAAAAAAAAGGTACTTGGAGGATAACTTCTTGTACTTATACATGTCTATATCATATTGTAGCTACGCTAAAGAAAGGGTATGCAAATTGAGGCCTAAATTTTCTATAAATCTAAGCTAAGCCATTTCAAACACTTAATGCAATGGTTCACGATTGTTGATTGGTGGCTTGCGGTGACCCCAATCCTTATAATCTTTGTGCATCAAATTGGCTATCTCTCTGGCTGCCTTCACAAGCCTTTGAGTTTCTTCCTCCCTCGTGGATACCCTCTTGGAGATGCTTGAATTCTTCCATCTTTTTGCCTCACGAGTGTCCTGCACAACAAATGTGAGCTTAGAATTGAAGTGGGAAAACAAAATTGAGAGAGGGAAAGAGAGAGACCTGATGGTTAAGTTGAGAGGTTTGATGAAACTTGTTCGAACTCTTTGTCTTTTGTCCTGCATGAAACCATATGAATTGCTAAATACTTACAAGCCATTGATTTTGAGTACTCTTTTTGTTGTTTGATGATATTACAAAATATTATATGTATATATATTTGGACCCATTTAAGTAGCTAACACAAAACCAAAAAAAGATCCTATAAAAAGGGGTGTGATTAATTATGTTTAGGAGGGTGGTGTAGAGGCCCTTTGTAATCTGCACCAAATGTTACAAAGCCAGCAACATTGAGCTTCCTACCACCATTCTTACAATTTTTTACACTACCATCTCCAAAATCACCCTTTTCATCTTCCAAGTTACAATTTTTGACACCTGAAATTCCTGAGCTTTCTTGATCTTCTTCTTCTCTCTCATCATTTGCAGTACTCTCTCTCCTCATTATCCTCTTTACTGCCACTCTCATTCTTCCACTCCCCATTTTCCTCATGTTCATGGCATCAAATCCCACAAGGGTTTCCTGCTAAAAATAAAAGAAATAAAATAATTAGAGTATTTGTTTTCCAAATTGTAAAATTAGTGAAAGAGAGGTTAATTAATCACCTTTTGAAGGGACGATTCAGAAAATTGAGCTCCAATAGTCAGCAATGGTGCATCAATGTGATCTACAAAGCGGGAGATTTGAGAAAAAAAGTGGATTTTAAGGAAAGAATAAAGAAAGTAAGTTGTGTAATACCTTGGAGAGCATGGGAGAGAGAGAGAAGGAAGATGGGTAAGGTGAAGAAGATGGTGGTGATGTTCTTCATCTTGGGTCAGTTTGGGTTGTTTGATGGAAGGAGGGGAAAAGAGTGAGATCCATGAAGGGTTGTTTGTTTTATATAAACAGTGTTGTGTTGGTGAAAGGCAAAAGAGTCAAAGCTTTTCTAGGGTTTCCAATCACAAAAACCCTAAAAAAATACTTTTTTGTTCTTGGTATCTGCATAAGCTTAGAAAATCTAAACAAAAGATGCAAAATAAAACAAAACCCAAGTTTTTATTTATAAAAACAAATCATTAGAAGGGTTTTTTTTTTTTCTTTTTTTCTTTTTTTTTTTTTTAAAAGGGTAAAAAAGATGTCTTCTTTGATTCCATATAGTTTTCAATTCAATAAAGTATACATTTGGACAAAACTTGAAGCTTGGGTTTCGTATTACCCTGCATGCTTAGGGATACTTCTCTCTTTTACTCATTTCATTTCATAGGAGTGTTCTTCGTTGAGTTTGAAGATTTTTTTAGACTCAGTCCCTAACTTTTTTTCAACTCAAGCAAATAATGTATCTAATCCAACCATAAAAAGTTATATGGTAGTTAGTGAAACATACCTTTATTTATTTCAACATTGAATTTAAATTAATTCAATTTCGATATATATTTAAAAAAAATTATCTTGTTAAGAAT